ATCACAAAATCTGGAAAAAATGCTGTTCCTGGTTTGAAAGTGTTGTTTCCTTTATAATTGTGCTGTCCTTACTTTGAAAGTAGTTCAGTGTGTTGTCAAAGGCGTTTACAGTTGGAATCACTGGGTTGTAGTGCGTTTTCTGGGCTGTGTGGCCATGTTCCAGAAGCATTCTCTCCTGGCGTTTTGCCCATATCTATGGCAGGCATCCTCAGAGGTGGTGAGGTCTGTTGGAAACTAGGCAAGTGGGGTTGATATATCTGTGGAATAATGCCCAGTGTGGGAGAAAGAACTCTTAACTGTTGGAGGCAAGCGTGAGTGTTGCAATTGGCTACCTTGATTAGCACTGAATAGCATTGCAGCTTCAAAGCCTGGCTGATTCCTGCCTGGGAGAATCCTTTGTTGAGAACCCCACTTCCTCCAAGATGAACCTGACCACCTCAAGTGGGCTCTCCAAACCAATGGAGATTCCACCACAGATGATATCGGAGGTGTCCCCCCCCCACAGGACTCTGTAAAGGATGGTTCAAAACCATTAAATTCATAGTTTTACCAAGGACACCAAGCTGATCCCGTAATCCCTTATCTCTCCCCCATGTGGGAACCTAAGGCTCTTTCCATGGCCCCACGTGGCAATGCCCCTGTAACCCACACTTTGTGGACTTTCTATAAACTTTAATTGACTTTTCATGGACTTTGGAACGCTTATGGACCCTATACCAAACCCTTTTATGATATTTCATAAACTTTTTATGAACTTTTATGATATTTCACTGATCTTTATGAACTTTTAATGGACTCTGGTGGGTGGGAAGGGCTGACATGATTTCCTTTTCCCTCTATATGAATGTATCCCCTATGATCCCCTTGTATGCCTTCCCCTTCCCCATATCCCTATATGAAATATGAAATGTCACCTCTTCGTGAACCCAGCACCCCAGGGCTCCAGGAAAGCTTCTCCTAAACAAAAGGACTCACCAAGGACATTTTGCATGACTGATAAACAAATGACTCTACTTCCTCAGACCTCGGAGAAGCCAAAGGCTTGCCCAACTGAGGAACTGATCCCAAGGACATTCTAATTATCTATCACAAAAGGTGACATCTTGCCTGCGGAAGATTTAGGTGTCACCACAGCCTCTTTCTTTGTTTCCATTCCTCCGGCCAATGCCAGTTTCAGATACCATCACTAAACCCATATCCAGGCCCAAGGATTACAAAGGGTCTGACTTTCGAGTCAGACGAAAGATGTATATTTCAGACACTCAGGACAATAGCCAAGCCGGCTCGAAAGCTAAAGAAAGCTATCGCTGGCAATTGTACAAACATTGAGTCACTTAATCCATTCATCTTTTTCTCCCGGTTCATTGTTTCCCGCCTGGACCGCCTCCTTGCTTCCCATTGGCTGGGAAGCCAAAGCGGCGCTGGCTCGCTGATTGGCTGAGGCGTAACCAGGCCGGCCGTACCTCCCAGCCAGCTGATGACTCCATCCCATCAGCACGGAGATGGCAAGGGGGCGGGGCGGGAGCAGGAAATTTGAATCTGAATTTTCTATAAAAACTGTAATGTTTCCCTTTGCAAGCTATGTGTTGTAGTACAGCGTGATAGTAACGTTACTACTACCGGTAGAAGGGAGAAGAGGGCTGCGCAGGTGTTGGAGGAGTGTTTGGCATTCTTGAGGCTTCTGGGTCTTGACACTATGTCAGCTTTGGCAAAGGATTGCAGTTTGACATCCGCTCCAGCTGGAACGAAATAAACATCTCGGTGGCTTCTGCTTCAACTTGGTGAGATTTCTTCTGGAGTATTGGCTTCTCTTTTCTCACCAGGCAACCCACAGTGGCTTGGGCCTATTCACAGCCATTCTCAATTGCTCGACAACACCGACATCAGAAGAGTGGCAAGGCCAAGAACAAACCACAAGAGTCAAGACAAAGATCCACCCAGAGGAAAAGTGTTCTCGCCAGAGATCAAGGGCACCACTGCCCACATAGAGAAGCTGATGAGGAGCACAACCTATGAACGATCTCCAGACCCACCAAGCAAGATCCAAGGAATGCTCCGCCCAGCAAAGGAGAAGAGGGATCCCCTCACCTCTGCAGGAGTCTCCTGTGGACCATGCAGCTGAGGACATGTCTACAGAGGGACCACCCAACTCAGCGTTGCCCAAACATCAATGCCAGACATTAAACAACCAGGGCCAGCTAACAAAGGATTCCCCCAGGCAGGAAGCAGCCAGACTTTGAAGCTGCAAGGCTTTACAGGCCAACAAATACACAGCTACCCGCTTTCTCCCCTTCTTAGAAATGCACATGCGAATAACTGGCTCAGACACAGAGTTAAAAAATGTACTTACGAAGAAAAAAGCATGCATGATGTAAATCTCATCCAGGTAAGAACTCCTTGGTTACATTCAGAGGCATGAGCCAGGCCTTCGGGTGGTGATCAGGCCCCTCTCCTCCCAAAGGTCACATCTCAAAAGGTGGCACAGGGCAACAAAGGCAAAATGGGAGGACAAAGGAAGGCACCCCCTTTATTCACCCTTCCAAACATGTGCTCAGAGAGCCTACGGGACTTACAACACATATCAGGTGGTGGTCAAGTCATTAGTTTACATGCATATTTAAATCAGGTGCAATAAGCTTTGGAATGTGAAGAGGTCGCGTTAGAGCAGGGATAAACAGGAAATGAGTCTTCAGACTTCCTTACTTAGGCGATCCCTCGTTGTCCGAGTAGGATAGTCTTCCACGATCGGGGTGCTGGTGGGTCCGGAGGTGACTGCGGAGCCCTAGTCTTGACCTTCATGTTCTCCTTCAGTGAGGGCATTGGTTTCCAGGTTGAAGGCGGTCCCGGTCGAGGTTGGCGTGACATGCCTTCCTCTTGGCATGTTTCTCTCTTCCGCCCTTCGTTTGTGCCTCTTCAACTTCTGCAGCACTGCTGGTCACAGCTGACCTCCAGCTGGAATGTTGGAGGGCAGGAAAAGAGGTTTAAAAATGGGCTCAAAGCCAACCTTAAAAACTCTGGCATAGACACTGAGAAATGGGAAGTCCTGACCCTTGAGCATTCCAGCTGGAGGTCAGCTGTGATCAGCAGTGCTGCAGAATTTGAAGAGGCACAAACTGGGCTAGGCAAAACTACAGTGAGGTGGATCTGGAATTGGTTAAATGGACGAACCCAGAGGGCGATTCTCCCCAATGCTTCCTCTTCATCTTGGAAAGAAGTGACGAGCGGAGTGCCGCAAGCAGGGTTCCGTCCTGGGCCCGGTCCTGATCAGGATCTTCATCAATGACTTAGATGAAGGGCGAGAAGGCAGGATCATCAAGTTTGCAGATGGGACCAAATTGGGAGGGATAGCCAATACTCCAGAGGACAGGAGCAGGACTCAAAACGATCTTGACAGATTAGAGAGGTGAATGGCCAAAACTAACAAAATGAAGTTCAACAGGGACAAATGCAAGATACTCCACTTCGACAGAAAAAAGGAAATGCAAAGAGACAGAATGGGAGACGCCTGGCTCGAGAGCAGTACGTGTGAAAAAGATCTTGGAGTCCTCGTGGACAACAAGTTAAACATGAGCCAACAATGTGATGTGGCGGCAAAAAAAGCCAATGGGATTTTGGCCTGCATCAAGAGGAGCCTAGTGTCTAGATCCAGGGAAGTCCTGCTCCCCATGCTCTATTCCGCTTTGGTTAGACCACACCTGGAATATTGTGTCCAATTCTGGGCACCACAATTTAAGAGAGATATTGACAAGCTGGAATGTGTCCAGAGGAGGGCGACTAAAATGATCAAGGGTCTGGAGAACAAGCCCTATGAGGAGCGGCTTAAGGAGCTGGGCATGTTTAGCCTGAAGAAGAGAAGGCTGAGAGGAGAATGATAGCCATGTGTAAATATGTGAGAGGAGGCACAGGGAGGAGGAGGGAGCAAGCTTGTTTTCTGCTTCCTTGGAGACTAGGACGCAAGGAACAATGGCTTCAAACTACAAGAGAGGAGATTCCATCTGAACATGAGGAAGAACTTCCTGACTGTGAGAGCCGTTCAGCAGTGGAACTCTCTGCCCCGGAGGAGTGTGGTGGAGGCTCCTTCTTTGGAAGCTTTTAAACAGAGGCTGGATGGCCATCTGTCAGGGGTGATTTGAATGCAATATTCCTGCTTCTTGGCAGAATGGGGTTGGACTGGATGATGGCCCAGGAGGTCTCTTCCAACTCTTGGATTCTATGAATGTAATAATACTAATAGAGTAAAATTATAATTGTAATAATAATAATAATAATAATAATAATAATAATAATGACAGAGTAAAATAATACATAACCTTGACTTGAGTATAAGCCGAGGGGGACTTTTTCAGTCTAAAAAAGGGCTGAAAAACTAAGCTTATACTCGAGTAAATACAGTATATAAACCCCACTTGCTTAGTTTCCAACACACCTCAGAACTTCTGAGGATGCCTTTAGCCATAGGTGTGGGCGAAATGTCAGGAGAGAATGCAGAACAGAAAGGAGGAAACCATGAAAATGAACACAAACTGGCTCCCATTATTAAGAAAAACTCTAAAATCAGGAGAGTAAATAAAGAACAACACTAGATTCCAGACAAGGGCTAACTAACACCTTCCAACAAAGGATTCCCCCAGGGCAGGAAGCAGACAAAGCGTTGAAGATGCTAATCAAAGTGATCAATCGCAACATTCACACTTGTTTCCGACTGGCAAGAGTTTTTTCTCCCACCCTGAATATTACACAGATACATAAACCCCGCTTGCCTGGTTTCCACAACCTCTGAGGATGCCTGCCATAGGTGTGGGCGAAACGTCAGGAGGGAATGCTGCTGAAACAGGGCCAGGCAGCCCCGGAAAACTCACAGCATCTCAGTACTAAAAACAGCGAACAATTCAAAACCTTAAACATGTAAACACAAAAATAGAAAAAAATAATAACAACAAGAGCAATAACAATAACAATATAGAATTATATATAAGACTATTAAAATAAATAGTAAATACCTTTAAGCTATCCAGGGAGCGAAGCCCTGAATTTGCCTCCGTTGGCATTGAGTGGCTGCAATTTCAATATTCAGATTGTAGTCTATTCCATGGCATATGTTATCTATAGAGCCTGGGGTCTGTTTTTAAAAGCCACTCTCAAGCAACCAGAAACTCCCCTTTATCCGGCATTGTTCCAACCTCCCAATTCACGGAGGGAGAAGGAACAGCTGGGTCTGAACCTGAACCCTGAAGCCAAATGAGCGCAGGCCCAACGGAAGGCACGCTTCGCCCTTCATGGAGACAGGGCGAAACGCACATCAAGTTTGGCCACTATTCCTATTTACAATCCTTCCTCAAAGCATTAATAGGGACATTAGTTAATATTTTAATCCTTAACTCAGGCAATGCGCCAGTCTGCCCTTGGCTGCCCTTTGGGAGAGGAGAGAAGGCAGCCCTCCATGGGGAAGGAGGGAAGGAAGGAAGGAAGGAAGGAAGGAAGGAAGGAAGGAAGGAAGGAAGGAAGGAAGGAAGGAAGGAAGGAAGGAAAGGAAATCCCTTTTGGTTTTCCATATCCGCGGACCCCCGTGCTTTCATTTATCCACATCAGACAAAACATGGCCTGAACGCCTAGGCATTTCCTCAGCCCTCCAATAGCAAGCACCAACAGCCCTAAAATTAACCAGAAGTCATATTCACATCATATCTGTGTGTCTATATGGTCGGAAGAAGGAAAGGAAATCCCTTGGGATTTTCCATATCCGCAGACCCCCCCCATGCTTTCGTTTATCCACATCAGACAAAACATGGCCTGAGCGCCTAGGCATTTCCTCAGCCCTCCAATAGCAAGCACCAACAGCCCTAAAATTAACCACAAGTCATATTCACATCATATCTGTGTGACTATGTGGTCGGAAGAAGGAAAGGAAATCCCTTGTGGTTTTCCATATCCGCGGACCCCCATGCTTTCGTTTATCCACATCAGACAAAACATGGCCTGAACGCTTAGGCATTTCCTCAGCCCTCCAATAGCAAGCACCTACAGCCCTAAAATTAACCACAAGTCATATTCACATCATATCTGTGTGACTATGTGGTCGGAAGAAGGAAAGGAAATCCCTTGTGGTTTTCCATATCCGCGGACCCCCCATGCTTTTGTTGATCCACATCAGACGAAACATGACCTGAGTGCCTAGGCATTTCCTCAGCCCTCCAATAGCAAGCACCTACAGCCCTAAAATTAACCCATAACCACGAGTAATATCTGAGCCTGAAGCGCCAGCACTGAGTCCAGGAGGATGGCCAGGCTGCGGAGCCGTGTTCTCCAGGGGAGTGAGTGCGTGGGACCCCCTCCGTCCAGCAGAAATTGCCACCCAAAGCCCCGATTGGCCTCGCGATCATCCCACTTTCCTCTGTTTAATGAGACTGAAGCAGTGCAAAATTGGGCCAAGAGTGATCATTATTATTAGAATTATCATCCTATCCCATTATTATTATTATTATTATTATTATTATTATTATTATTATTATATCATATATTATTAAAGAATCATAGAATATGATCATTATCACAGAAAATCATATCATCATTCTTATAGGAACATGAGCAGAGAATCATAATTATCATTCTTATAGGAACATGGGATATTGCTATTATTATTATTATTAGATAATAAAATTTATTATTATTATTAATGTTATTATTACTATTATATAACTATTGAATCCTAGCAGAGAATCATATTGTCATTCTCATAGGAACATGAGATATTATTATAATTATTATTAGATAATAAAATTTATTATTATTATTACTATTATATTACTATTGAATCCTAGCAGAGAATCATATTGTCATTCTTATAGGAATATGGGATATTATAATTATTATTAGATAATAATATGTATTATTATTACTACTACTACTACTACTATTATATTACTATTGAATCCTAGCAGAGAATCATATCATTCTCATAGGAACATGGGATATTATTATAATTATTATTAGATAACAATATTTATTATTATTAGTAGTAGTAGTAATAGTAGTAGTAGTAGTAGTAGTATTATATTACTATTGAATCCTAGCAGAGAATCATATCGTCATTCTTATAGGAACATGGGATATTATTATAATTATTATTAGATAATAAAATTTATTATTATTATTATTATTAATGTTATTATTACTCTTATATAACTATTGAATCCTAGCAGAGAATCATATTGTCATTCTTATAGGAATATGGGATATTATAATTATTATTAGATAATAATATGTATTATTATTATTATTATTACTACTACTACTACTACTACTATTATATTACTATTGAATCCTAGCAGAGAATCATATCATTCTCATAGGAACATGGGATATTATTATAATTATTATTAGATAACAATATTTATTATTAGTAGTAGTAGTAGTAATAGTAGTAGTAGTATTATATTACTATTGAATCCTAGCAGAGAATCATATCGTCATTCTTATAGGAACATGGGATATTATTATAATTATTATTAGATAATAAAATTTATTATTATTATTATTATTATTATTATTATTATTATTAATGTTATTATTACTCTTATATAACTATTGAATCCTAGCAGAGAATCATATTGTCATCCTTATAGGAATATGGGATATTATAATTATTATTAGATAATAATATGTATTATTATTATTATTATTATTACTACTACTACTACTACTACTATTATATTACTATTGAATCCTAGCAGAGAATCATATCATTCTCATAGGAACATGGGATATTATTATAATTATTATTAGATAACAATATTTATTATTATTATTATTATTATTATTATTATTATTATTACTATTACTATTATATTACTATTGAACCTAGCAGGGAATCATATCATTCTTATAGGAACATGGGATATTATTATAATAATTATTATATAATAAAATTATTATTATTATTATTATTATTACCCGTCCCCTGCCACGCATTGCTGTGGCCCACGTGGGGGTTCTGTGTGGGAGGTTTGGCCCAATTCTATTGTTGGTGGGGTTCAGAATGCTCTGTGATTGTAGGTGAACTACAAATCCCAGCAACTGCAACTCCCGAATGTCGAGATTCTATTTTCCCCAAACTCCACCAGTGTTCACATTTGGGCATATTGACTACTTGTGTAGAGTTTGGTCCAGATCCATCATTGTTTGAGTCCACAGTGATCTCTGGATATAGGTGAACTACAACTCCAAAGCCACCAAACCCTTCCAGTATTTTCTGTTGGTCACGGGAGAACTGTGTGCCAAGTTTGGTTCAATTCCATTGTTGGTGGAGTTCAGAATGCTCTTTGATTGTAGGTGAACTACAAATCCCAAATGACAAAATCATTTTTTCCCTACCTATCTATGTACTTGTCTACCTACCTACCTACCTACCTACCTATTTGTCTGTCTGTCTATCTACCTACCTACCTAACTCTATACTTGTTTATCTATTTACCTACCTACCTATTTAGTATCTATCTATCTATCTATCTATCTATCTATCTATCTATCTATCTATCTATCTATCTATC